TGGACCTCGGCACGTAATGTGGTTGCTCACTGTGCCGAAATCGGCAGCTGGGTTTGAACACCAAAACAGTCACTACGCTTGACCTGAGAGAGTTTCTCTTTCTTTTAATACTCCTGGCGTTCGATACGGCGCCTCATCACGTCCTCGAGACGTCGCAAAGCGCTTCACAGAATATGCTGTGAAGTGAATCGACCGGACATTCAACGACAACAACAACGACGACATCAACTTGCATTTATGTGGAGTCCTGCAGCTCGGTGGTTGTTAGCGCACTCGCCTCGCAAGTGAGAGGACCCCCCCCCCCCGGGTTTGATTCCCAGGGGGAGGGCGAAACCTTCGGCAAGTTTCCTTACTCCGCGCGCCTCCGTTCGCCTGGCAGTAGGTCGGAATATGAGCCAACTGGCGGATCGCTTTTCCCCGGGGGCAATAACTCCTTCAAAAAAAAACATCATATGAATAAATTCGTCACTTCAAACCAAGGCTGTTTTGTGGGACGCAGCTGTGCGCAATTGGCTGCTGTGTTTCGCCCGCAAAATATACAGTCGACTCACTTCGCGGCAGCCCTTTGAGATGTGATAAGGCGCTATATATCAAAGGATTATTATTATTATTATTATTATTATATACCCCCAGAGGATAGAGTTCAAGATCCTTGCGCTCACCTTCCAAATTCTCCGCCCACCTCGCCCCACCTTGCTTCTGTGACCTCCTCAAACCTGACTGAGGGTGAGCCTTCAGCCATTCTGCCCCGCGCCCCCCCCCAACCCCCCCCATCGCCACTGCACATCCCCCCCCCCCCACCCCAACCGCCCCAGTCCTGGATCAAACCTTCATCGTCTTAGCTTCACCTCAACCTCCAGCTCAAGCCAATCCCAGTGATAGACTGACACAGCGATGGACTGTTGGTGGGTGGGGGGGGGGGGCCTTGTCCATCAGATCAGACCTTAAACCCAGGTCCCCTTCGGAGCTGTTCACGTGTACGTTAATGATCCCGCGGGGCTGTTGGAAAAGAGGAGGGAGATTCTCTCTCTCTCTCTCCCTCTCCCGGGGCCTGACCGACAATCTCCCAAGTAAAATCAGTCGTTCACTTCGCGGTTGTGCGTGGGGCGTTGCTGTGAACAAATTGGCCGCCACATTGGTCTACAAAACACGCAGTCACTACGCTGTGCAGTAAAGCCCGTGAGGCGCTCCGGGACCTCCGCCCCCGCACGAAAACACGTGGGATTTTTCAGGTCCACCCGAACATGGGTTCGTGGTTTAACATCTCATCCGAAGCACAGTGCAGCGCTTCCCCCCACCACCCCCCCCCCCCCCCCACCACCCCCCAGCTCTGCACTGGTGTTATTGGAAAAGAGATGGCAGTTTCTCTCTCCCAGCGTCTTGGCCAAAACAATCCCCCCGGACACGATGCTGAGCGCAAATCGGCTCTTGTGTTTCGCTCAAAAAAGTACAGAGTCAGTCCGCCGGACGGCCGTCGCTTATGAAGCTCTTTGAGACAGTTTGACATTAAAGAGCACTGTGCGAAACAAGGATTATGATTATAATCAGGAGAGGAGAGAAAATCGACCTCGTCGCTGGCTCGGCGTCGTAAAAGCAGACGGCCACATACCTAAGCCAGATGGTTTACACATTTCTGGCCTTTCAAGTCACGGCAGGCTTTGTGAGGTACCAGGGCTCACTCGCAAGCCTTCTGTCAGAAGCCCCGACTTCCTCCATTAAACGGCCAACCGCAGAGTCCAGCCCAGAAGTAACCATTCCAATCTCCAGCTCGCTTGCCCAACTCATCCCAGACATGGCGGGGGGGAGGTGGGGGGGGGGGGGGTTGGAGAGGGGAGGGGAGGGAGGCGGGAGGGCAACTCGAGTGTGGGCAATCCACCAGCTCTGCGTCAGGTGGAAAAACTCCATCCAGCCTTCAACGTTCCCCAGAACCTACGTCAGCGTCTGATTGGAACCTCCTGTGGGAGCTCAGAGACGCCATCGGCCTCAGCCCAACCACAACTGCTTGGGATGCAGCAACAGGAGGAGGCCATTCAGAGCCCCCCCCCACCCCGAGCCTGTTCCGCCATTGTGTTAGATCGTGGCTGATCTGGACCTCAACTCCCATTTCAAGGGGGAACACTGCAGCCGGGAGTCTGACACACGCGGAAACCCATCATCCCATAGTGCTTAAGTCTCCAAACCAGACCGAGAATTCCACATATGTCCGTCACCCACACGTGGAAATTCCCCTCCGTCTGGATTGGAATGCTCCCTCTCTCTCTCTCTCTCTCGCTCTGTCTCTCCCTGGAGGGACACATCCTGCTCACCTCATCCTGGAAACTATTGGTTGCAGGTCGGCAAGAGCCCAGAGTGTGAGTTGTGGTAACTGCTGGAGTCTACTCAACGAAAACCACGCAGCTCGTCCTTGATATCCCCCTCTGCCCCTGAACCTCGGGAACTCCATCCCGCAGTCCCTGCACCTCCCCCCCCCCTCCCTTGCCTCCTTCAAGACTCACCTCGAGACCGTCCTCTTCGACCGTGCTTTCGATCTCCCTGCTTCCCCCCACTGCCCTCCACCCTCCCCCTATCCCGACCGCCCACCACCCCCCCCCCCACGCCCGGCTCGGGTCTGAAACACTGACTGTCCAGAGCCTTGGGACGTCCTCCCGACGTGACAGGCGCTCTCTCCATATATATATATATATATATATATGGTAATTTTGTTGTTGTTGTTGTCTCTTGTCTCGCTTACTTTTCTCCATCACTTCGTTCCCATCACAAGTGAGCAGCCGGCGAGAAAGTGAGCGGGTGAGGGAATGAGTAAGTGACTGAGCAAACAAGTGAACGTGCGCGGGAGCGAGGGGTCTAAGCGTATGAGTGAGTGAGTGAGTGGCCGGTCGTGCGGTGGTGTGGAAAGAAGCTGTGCCCGATTCTGTCCTCGCCCGACCACCCCCCCCACCCCCCACCCGCCGACCCCCACACCCAACCCACCCCTATAGATCTGAGACTGAGTCTTCGAGGCTTAGAGCCGGGTTTCCCTGGGGCTGAGCTGGCTCAGAGCGGCCAGGCCCTGAGGTACAGGCAGAGGCAGACAGGACCTGCGGTGACCCGCAGGCAGCCGTGGGCGTGTAGACATCTCCCGAAGCCAAACAGCCCGGCTGCACAGTTGCGGCGCTGTGTAACGTGTGTGTGTGTGTGTGTGTGTGTGTGTGTGCGTGGCCACCAGATGGCTGGGGAGCGACCACTGCAGGTCAACTCTCTCAGGACCTTGTGGCTTCCGGCCCCGCATCGCGGTCTCAGCCGGCGCTCCAGTGTCGTGCCGGGGGCAGGTCCGTCCGCCGGTTCAGGTGTCGGTTAAAAGATTCCACGGCACGATTTGAGAATTCCCTCCCCCCTCCCCGCCCCGTTTTTTTCTTTTGCCTTGAAATAACATAATAATACGGCGGTTTCCAACGCCCGGGGACGTCCTCCCGGCGAGAAAGGCGCAATGCAGACATAATCGTGCAAGATATATAATTTGCGCCGCGTTTCGCCCGCAAGCAGTCGTGGATTGAGTGCCCTTATCGTTATTTTTTGCTTATTTATCGGAGGGATTTATCGGACGGATCTCTTTCTCCCTCTCCCTCTCTTTCATTCATCCTTTCGTTCTCGTTTTCCATTTCTCCCTCCCTTTATTCCTTCGGAGATTTTGCTAATAATCCGTAATAATTCAAAATGTAATTCAAAATATGGTCCAGGACGCGTGCCCGAGCTGCGGGCAGGGAGACGGCGGCGATGCTCTCGCCACGTTGGGTGCCCCGGGGGCGCCACAGCTTCAACTGGATCAGCGGCTGTGAAAAATATCTCCTCGTTCTTTGCAAACTGCAATTCACGAGGTCACAGGAGAGGCTCAGGTGAAGAAGCCCTTTCGAGCCATTGGAGCGCAGTCTTTCATTGCGGACCGTCCATCCCCGATCGGCCTCGCTCGGTCTGTAGCCCTCGTGCCTTTGACTCGGAAGGTTGTGGGTTCAAATCCCACGGCGGCATTTTGAGCTCACTTGTCCAGACTGATTATTAATTATTATTATTAATAACAATACCCACTCGCTCACTTCCCCATTGCAGGACTGAGCTACTTCTTAGACAGAGCGCTTCTGTTTGGAACGGCAGGACCTGGGGCGAAATGTTGGTCAAGTTTCCTTACTCCTCACGCCTCTGTTTACCGAGTAGCAAGTAGGGACATGGTCGTTAGTCGACGGGCGGATCGCTTTCCGGGGGGGTAGAAATCTCTTTTAAGTAATTAAACAGGCAACCAGATCAATAAATAATTTAGTCACTCAATCCGCGATGACGCAGTCGATTCACTCCGCAGAGTGAAGCGCTTTGGGACGTCTGAATGACGTGATAAGGCGCTGTGTCGGATGCGAGGATGATTAATAATTAGAATGAAATGCAATGGAAGCCCCAAGCGGAGCCGGTGACATCTGCTGCCGACACTGAGAGCGGAAAAGTTGGAGTCAAGCGCAGAGGTTCATTGGAAAGGCTTTAATGCAGTGCAGCCCCGAGCAAATTACAGGCGACCGGTGTACATAACGTGAAGGCAGTGTGTGTGTGTGCGCGCGTGTGTGCGCCCGCGCGCGCGCGTGTGTGTGCGTGTGTGTGCGTGTTTGTGTGCGCGGGCGCGTGCGTGCGTGTGTGTGTGTGCGTGTTTTTGTGCGCGTGTGCTTGTGGTGTTAATTGAGAAGAAAATGTTCAGAGCCAGCGATGACCCCCCCCCTCCCGATGTAAACTTTAAGCCAATGGTAGAGATGGAGGCTGGACTTGGGGTTGTGGGGGGAGTTGGGGGGGAAGAGAGAACGAGAGAGAGAGAGAGAGAGAGAGAAAGCCAAGTCCCAAGGTTTATTTTCCAAAGTTTCTCATTGCGCTCCTCAGCTTTCAGACCTCTCCCTCCAGGGATCGCTTTCCCCTCTTTTTCTTCCTCCCCTCTCTCTCTCTCTCTCCTCTCTCGCGCTCGTTCATTCTCTCTCTCTCTCTCTCTCTCTCTCCCTCTTTCCCTCTCTCTCCCGCTCTCTCCCTTCTCCGCCCTTTTGGTAAATTTCATTCGAAGATGCGATGGGATTTCGGTCATGCTGCAAGGTAGGAGCCGGGAATACGAGGCTTGAGTTCGGTTTGTGTCTACATCACGTGGAATGCGGTTGAAATAATAATAATAATAATAATAATAATAATAATAATCATAACCCCGGCGTTGGACGTCGTTTTGTTGAGCCGTCTCAAAGCGCTTCCCGGAACATACTGCAAAGTGGATTGACTTTTGTGGGTGGAAGACGGCGGCCGATTGTGCACAGCCGCGTCCCAAATCATTCCTGTTCACGTTTGCTTTGAGAGCAAGTCGGTTTTAGCACAAGGAAGTCAGAACGTTTTCCAGTTTATTGCTGTAATTATTATTATTATTATTATTATTATTATCATTAATATTATCATCTCGTGTATATATGTGCGCTGGATAGAATTACTACCGCCTTTGTGTCGCGCGCGAACGAGACTTCTCGGAGTAATGTTCTTGGAGTAACGTCGCAGAGGAACTTCTCGGAGTAACATTGCGGAGCGCTGGGCGGAGACGATGCCGAACGCTGAGCTGGGATGGGAACAGGGGTGATGTAGACCCTGTTACATTCCCCCTGCCTTGCCCCATCCTTTCCCCCCTCTGCAGGTTGTGCCTGAAGATCTTCCTTTTTGGACCGCACATACAGTCACCTCCTCCCCTCCCCGCTAAGCTCTCCGCTTAAGCGCTCTGGGACGTGAGGTAGCACTGTATAAACGCAAGTGGTTGTCCCTGTTGTTTAGAGAGCTTCTTCGAACAACTTTCTCCCTTGCGGAGATCTTCCGAACAGTTACTGCTTTGCTTAAAACGTTTTCAATCCCACCTGCGCACCAGGTGCTGAGCGTCTGTCGGTCTGTCTCTCTGTCTGTCTGTCTCCCCGTGAGTCGCTAACTCCCAGCCACGCGAGCTGGTCCCCGTTATGCCTTGTAATGAGGCATCCACATTCCACGGGCTTTATGAGAGGGACGTGTCGCAGGAAGGAACCTGCGCCGCCTGTCTCTGGGACAGAGCATGTGTGTCTGTGTGCGTGTGCGTGTGCGTGTGTGTGGGAAGGAAGGGTGGGGAGGTTAACAAGGGAGTTCATTAAAAAAAATCACATTTGGGCTTTACAGGATTCGCTAAAGTACGGCGACTGTATTTTGTAGGCAAACGTGGCAGACAATTTGCACACAGCAATGTCCCACAAACAGCCACTTAAGTGAGTCAGCCATTCTTTTCAGGTGGTGGTGGGAGGGGGGGGGGTTCGGGGCGGGGGTGGGGGGGGGGAATGGTCGGCCCAGGACACTGAGAGACAGAAATTCCCTTCTCTTTTGCAATAGGGCAGTGGGATCTTTAACATTCCACCCGGGTTCTGTCTGTTCAGGTGGACATTAAAGATCTCGAAAAGATCTCAGGTAGATATCAGGGATCTCAAAAAAGCGCTGCATGAAAAGAGAAGGGAGTTTCTCTCTCCGGGTGTCCTGCCCGACAATCCCCCTGGTCGCTCATTTCATGGCTGCTTCTGGGACGTTGTTTTGTGCAAATTAGCTGCCTCGTTTCCTGTTAACCCTGCTAGCCAAACCTCTAATGGGTAGGGGGGTCCTACCTGAAGACTCTTATGCACGGTGATGGGTTCCCGTGTGTGTCAGACCCCCGGCTGATCACTGTGATGGGTTCCCGTGTGTGTCAGACCCCCGGCTGATCACTGTGATGGGTTCCCGTGTGTGTCAGACCCCCGGCTGATCACTGTGATGGGTTCCCGTGTGTGTCAGACCCCCGGCTGATCACGGTGATGGGTTCCCGTGTGTGTCAGACCCCCGGCTGATCACGGTGATGGGTTCCCGTGTGTGTCAGACCCCCGGCTGATCACAGTGATGGGTTCCCGTGTGTGTCAGACCCCCGGCTGATCACGGTGATGGGTTCCCGTGTGTGTCAGACCCCCGGCTGATCACGGTGATGGGTTCCCGTGTGTGTCAGACTCCCGGCTGATCACGGTGATGGGTTCCCGTGTGTGTCAGACCCCCGGCTGATCACGGTGATGGGTTTCCGTGTGTCTTAGACACACTGGCTGATCACAGTGTACAGCCATTGCCTGTGAAGCGCTTTGAGATTTCTGGGTGCTGTGTTGGTTTTCTGATGAGATTGGAGCGAGAATGTGCTGAACACTAGATATCAGTTCTGATTGCTGATTTTGCCCTGAAACAGGACAACGCAGAAGGAAGTGCTTCTGAAGCTGTGGTTCAGTAGTGTGGCACTCCTGTGGCCTCCTGTATCGTGCGGTAAGTGATATCTTACATACGTACATAAGAATTTGCTGGTGGAAGAAGACCAAGGTCCATCCAGTTTGCCTTCCACCATCCTGACCGTCGCTTGACATGTCGTGTCCCAAACTATATGCTGTATCCCGAGATTCCTAACGGAAATCTATCTCATTTGTTCTTGAAAGACCGTGTTCGGTGGCCTTGCCTTCATCCACTACTCCCCGAAACTCTGGAACTCTCTCCCTCAATCCCTCCGCCTCGCCTGTCTCCCTCCCTCCCTCCCCACTTTCAATTCCCACCCTAAAGACCTTCCTTTTTGATCGATCTCCCGGTCACCTCCCCCCCCCCTCCCTCCCTCTCCTCTCCCCCTGGCTCGGGATCGGACTCCCCACTCTCAAGTGAAGGGTGCTGCACAAATACAAGCTGTTGTCGTCGTCGTTGTTGAAAGAATCGTCTCTTTCTGCTTCCACCGTCTCCCTACGTTGTTATGTTTTATATGTATCTGCTGGACGGACGCCTTGGGCTATCGGAAAATCCTGATCATGTTTACCAAGTGAAGGTGGTGCTCATTATTTTGCACGGTTATAAGTGTGTGGTTTCACCGTAGGCATCTGGCTGGGCACTTCAATGGAAGGAATGTAGACCACATTCCAACCCAATGTGGAGTCCTGTAACTCAGTGGTTAGAGAGCTCGTCTCGCAAGCGAGAGGACCTGGGTTTGATTCCCGGGCCGGGGGCCTTACTCCACACACACACACACACACGCCTCTGTTGACCCAGCAGTGAGTAGGAACCCGGTCGTTAGTCAATTGGCGGATCGCTTTTCCAGGGGTAATGATCCCTTCCAAAAAAACAGAATGATCAGAAACTGGTCGCTCCATCCACGCTTCACGGGATCTACTGCAAACTGCGGTGACTTGTGTTTCTTTGCGAGCGAAACGTGGCAACCAATCTGCACACAGCGACGTCCCCCAAACAGCCGCGGAGTGAGTGACTAATTTTATCCGGGGGATTGTTGGCCAGGGCACCAGGGGGGAGAGAGAATCTCCCTTCTCTTTTTGAATAGCGCCTGGAGAGCTTTAAAGGTCTGACAGTCAGTCTTGAGATCAATATGTGACTTGCCTCTCGGTTTCTGTTCGCTCCTTTGAGTCTAATACCCATTTCAGTGCCATTTCGCAGCCCAAACTCCTCGCCTGGGACGCCCCTCCGGCAACGGGAAGATCCCACTGGGTGGCCATTAACAACCAAGATGATTAGCACATCTCACGCTGCAGTTTTGACCCCCCAACAGAAGTTGAACTGTAGAGGTGAGAAGCCAATCTAACTGTCTTCTCTTTTCCGCAGCAGTGAAAAACTTTCACAACTACGATGGTTTGGACGAGACAACAGTCTGCCCGAATATCAGGATTGGACAAGATGATTTACCAGGTACCACGGGGTACTCCATAAACAGCACAATACAGAATAATCCTTGCCTTTGATGTAGCGCCTTATCACTCCATCGAGATGTGTCAAAGCGCTTCACGGGATATAGGTGATAAGGCGCTGTATCACATTGCAAGGGTTATTGCTTGTAAATAATATTATACTCTTCCCTTCCTCAAGGAATCCTTGGAATCCTCAACTCCTCTCGACCTTGCTCCGCTCTCTCTCCTCCTGCGCCTCTGTCAGTCGGTAAGATTGAAGGACTTGTGTGGGAGACTTACTCTGTATTTGACTCTCTCTCTCCATCACTGCTCCCCCTCAGGGTTCGACATCATCACTCAATTCCAACTAGACAATATCCCGCTGCGGGGGGTGAGAAGGGTGGAGGGCTCCACCCCTCTCCAGATCGCCTTCAGACTAGAGAGAGAAGCCAACTTCCAGATACCGACGAGGTAAGTGGGGGTCTCCTCCGAGGCTCTGTAGCAAATGCAAGGATTATTATTCTTGTAAGTCTGTCTCCACGCCTGACAACTCACAGCAGTTCTCCGTGAAGAGCTTTACGCTCCCCCTGGATGACCGGACACCGTCGAGGCCCATCATTATCGAGCCGTGTGCTCACTGTTATATTAACCTGTGGATTCTTCACCCAAAGCCTTGCTTGCGGTCTCCACCGTTCCTCTCTCCTGCTCTGTGATCATCTGCCGTCCAATCATTTGGAACTGAAGTACAGACTAATGACATGTCCTTAGCTCTGCCCGTAATAATAATAATAATAATAATATTCCTTGCATTTGATGTCATGCCTTACCATGTCGTTGAGATGTCTCAAAGCGCTTCACAGAATATACAGTAGAGTGCAGTAGTTGTGCATTTCGTGGGCGAAACGCGGCAGCCGATCTGCGCACAGCAGCGTCCCCACAAACACTCGTGGATAATTAGCCCCTCCGGAGAGCGATCGGCCCGTCGACCAACGACCGACAAACCAAAAACCACTCAGTCACTTCACGGCTGTTCGTGGGACGTTCGCGCCCGCAAACCGGCTGCCGTGTTCACCCACGAAACCAGCCGGTGGGGAGGGGGAGGGCGAGGGCGAGGTGACGGTAGGCAGGGTCGGTGATGAGGGTCCTCAGGTGTGAACTGAAGGTGGGGAAGGGAGGAGGCAAGGCGGAGGGATAAAGGGAGAGCGAGAGTGGGTTGGGGAGTAAGGAGGTCGGAGAGGTTGGGAGGTGCCCAAGGCGCGAAGGGATTTGAAGACAACTGTGAGGATCGTGAAATCGACACGATGGACTGAATAAGGTCTCTCCCTCTCTGTCTCTCTCTCTCCGTCTCTCTCCATCTCTCTCTCTCTCTCTCTCTCTCTGCGTGTCTCTCTCCGTGCCTCTCTCTCTCTCTCTCTCCCCCTCCCTAGGGTGATCTACCCGCGAGGCTTGCCCGAGGAATATTCCTTCGTCACCACCTTCCGCATGCTGAAGGAGACGGTGGAGAAGGTGTGGAACGTCTGGCAGATCGTGGACGAGGACGGTTACCGTCAGGTGGGGCTGAGGCTGAACGGCGACACCCAGTCGGTGGAGTTTTACCTGGTGGGTCTGGACACCAACCTGCAGACTGTGACCTTCCCCGGAGTCTCTCAGATCTTCAACACCGACTGGCACAAGGTGCTGGTGGGGGTGCAGAGGGATAGCGTCAGCCTGTTCGTGGACTGCCAGCAGGTGGGCTCCCAGCCCATCAAGTCCAAGGGCACCGTCAACGTGGACGGAGACACTCTGATTGGCCGCCTGTATTCCAACCCGCATACGTCTGTCGTGGTAAGTCGGGCCGAGCGACCTCGCGGCGTCCTAGGGTGCTACGGGCCCAGGAAGAGGCCATCGTGAACCTGCGCTGGCTCTTTGAAAGAGCCGTCCGACCAGCCTCGGTCTCCCCCACTCTCCTCGCTGAGTCCCTCCCGAAATGCCGGCTTGGGAGGACATTCACCAGGAAGGGAATGCTGGACACGGTCTTGGGCCGGATGTGGCCCGCGGGCCGCCAGTTGGCTCACGCTGGACGCGGCCCATGGTTTTTCTCCAATAGGCAATCCGGCCCGCGAACACCCTAAACAATCTGGTTCTATGTTTTCACCATGTTCTCTACATGTTCTATCTCCCGACGTGAAAGGCCCTATGTAAACACAATTTGTTGTTGTTGTTGTTGTTTTACAACCTCCCTCCCTTCTTGATCTCACCCCACTCCCCTCCCGGGGCCGCAATACTACTTCAATCTTCCTCTTTCCGTCATCGTGGGGGCCCCATCGTAGCTCAGGGGTTCAGAGCGCTCGCCTCGCAAGCGAGAGGACCTGGGTTCGATTCCCGGGCCGAGTCAGGGGCGAGAGGTCGGGCACGTTTCAGGGTCGTGACGGCGTCGGAGCCTGACGCGGGGTGAAAGGGGGGAAGTGACCGTAGGCGCCATCGAAGAGGAAGGTGTTCGGGCAAACCTGGAGATGGGGAGGGACGGGGCAAGGCGGAGGGATTGAGAGAGCGTTCCAGAGGTTCGGGGCGTAGTGGCTGAAAGCGCGGGCGCCGCTGCTGGACCGGAGTGGGGTGGGGGGGGGAACGAGGAACAAGCAGGAGGCCTGGATCCGGTTGGAAAGGGATTTGTTGCGGTTTGTTGCTGTCAAGGGCTTGGAGTCGATGTCGATGAGAAAGGTGGCGTTATTGTGGATGTTAATCGGTCTCTCCCTTTGCCGTTGCAGTTCGAGCTGCAGTGGATGCTGATCCACTGCGATCCCCGGAGAGCCCAGCGGGAGACCTGCTCTGAGCTGCCCATACAACAGGTGGGGACCGGTCAGCAATATATACCCCTCCCCGCCACACGCACTCCCCCCTCCACCCCCCCACACACTCCGCCCTCCCCCACACACACTCCCCCCTCCCCACACACACACTCCTCCCCCCACGTTCCCCACCTCCCCCCCACACACTCCGCCCTCCCCCACACACTCCCCCCTCCTCCCCCCCACACTCCCCCATCCCCCTCACTCATTCCCCCCCCCTCACACACTCTCCCTCTTCCTCCCACACACTCCTTCCTCTCCTCCCACGCATTCTCCCCCACCACGTCCCCTCACACGCATTCCCCCCCACCCCCCCCCCCACCTCCAAGCTACGAGCTGCCCAGAGGGGGGGGTGGGGGGCGGCTGGGTGGGGAACATCGAGGGGTTGGGTATTCATCATATCCGGGGCTGACTAAGCTAACTCCCCGTTTGTCAGCCTTCCCAACTCTTCCCTCCACAAGCTGCAGTGTCCTCGCTCTCCCTCACCAGGCTCCGTCACCCCGTCACCCCCCCCCACCCTCGCCCGGCTTCGCTGGCTCCCCATCCCCCAGAGGATAGAGTGCAAAATCCTCGTCCTCGCCTTCAAAGCCCTCCACGGCCTTGTCCCCTCCCTACCTTTGTGACCTGCTATATGGATGTAGACCTGTCCGTTCCCTCCGCTCAGCGGGCTCCAGCCTGCTCCACGTCCCCCGCCCGGCCCACCTCGCCATCGGGGCTCGGACCTTCAGCCTCTCCGCCCAAACCGTCTGAAACTCCATCCCACGGTCCCTTCCCCTCACTCCCTCCCTTGCCTCCTTAAAGCCCCGTCTCAAGACCCTCCTCTTCGACCGTGCCTTTGGCCAAACTCCTACCCCTGTTCTCCCTGTCCTCCACCCCTCCTGATCCTCACCCCCGGCTCGGGTCCAAATCCCCGAGCGTCCAGCGCTTTGGCCGTGGAGCAGGATGGCGCCCACCGAGCGGACGTCCTCTACAAACGTAAATTGTTGCTGCTGCTGTTGCTGTTGTGCACGTTGTGATATTTGCCACATCAGAGCCTTTTGGCTCCAGTCCGACGTCCTGCCAAGCGATGACCGTTCTTTCAGCGTGTGATCATTCTGGCCCACAAAATACACAGCCACTCCACTTTACAGCGTATTCCCGGGAAAGCGCTTTGAGGCGTCTCGGAGACGTGATAGGGCGCTGTATCGAACGCGAGGATTTTATGATTGAAAGCCAAAGGCGTAGGTTGGGATTCTAACGATACCCTTAACCGTTGCTTTCCCATTTGTTTCTTTGTGTTCTCTCTCCCGCAGAGATTTCTGCCTAACTCGGAGGTATAGACTGAAGGACCAGCCTTTTCTCTAAGCTTTGAAAGACGCTCCTTTAGTGTTTGCCGTTCCGATAGAGTCCCGTCTGTCGCAGCGTCTGATGCACGTGCATGAGCCCCACCCTCCGCCCACCACAAACCGCTCCAAACATCTGCATGAGCTGAGCAATAGTGATGGAGCGGTCGGGTTTCTGAGGCACCCTCTCTCTCTCTCTCTCTCTCTCTCTCTCGTTGGCCTGTATCCCCCCCCCCCCCCACCCCACCACACTCTTCCTCCTCCCCCTTCTCCCCTTCCCCCCACTACAGTAAACCTCACGTAACTCGTATCAGTTGGGACCTCACCTTTATTATGACTTATATGTCAAACTCTCGTGGAATCTAAATTCTTGAACGGGACTTGGGCCGTTTATACGGCTCAGACTTAAGTGAGTTTTACTGTATTGTCTTAAAGGTGGGGAGGGAGGGGGCGAGGGAGGGAGGGGGCGAGGGAGGGGGCGAGGGAGGGGGCGGGGGAGGGGGGGGAGGGAGGGAAGGGACGAGGGAGGGAGGGAGGGGATGAGGGAGGGAGGGGGGAGAGAGGGAGGGGACGAGGGAGGGAGTGAGGGAGGGGGTGAGGGACGGGGGAGAGAGGGAGGGGGTGAGGGGGGGGGAGAGAGGGAGGGGGTGAGGGGGGGGGGAGAGGGAGGGAGGGTGAGGGAGGGGATGAGGGAGGGAGGGGACGAGGGAGAGAGGGAATGAGGGAGGGGGTGGGGGGGGGGAGAGGGAGGGGGGTGAGAGGGAGGGGGTGAGGGAAGGAGGGGGCGAGGAAGAGATCTAAACGTGAGAATGAGGAACATGATCGGCGGGGTGGGGTGGGGTAGGGTGGGGTAGGGTAGGGTGGGGTAGGGTGGGGTGGGGTAGGGTGGGGTAGGGTAGGTGGGGTAGGGTGAGGTAGGGTGGGTAGGGTGGGGTGGGTAGGGTAGGGTGGGGTAGGGCGGGTGGGGTAGGGTAGGGTAGCGTAGGGTGGGGTGGGGTAGGGTAGCGTAGGGTGGGGTGGGGTAGCATAGGGTAGGGTCGGGTGGAGCGGGGTGGTGGGGTGGGGTGGAGTAGGGTTGGGTAGGGTGGGGTGGAGTAGGGTGGGGTAGGGTGGGGTGGGGTGGGGTAGGTAGGGTAGGGTAGGGTAGGGTAGGGGGGGGTAGGGTGGGGCGGGGTGGGGTGGGGCGGGGTGGGGTGGGTGGACGGTGGGTTTGCGGAGCCAGTGGAGCCGGGTGAGGACTAACCCACCGCCCCCCCACACTCCCACCGCCCCCCCCCCCCACCCCCCCATCCCCTGCCCCCCACCCCTGCCCCCCTCCACCCCTGCCCCCCTCACTGTAGTGGCTGTCAGTTACCCCCTTTCCCCTTCCTCTCCCCCCCCCTCAACGCCGCTCCTCCGGGGCTCACTGACCCCAAATAACCTTTGTCCCATCTCTCCCCCATTCAGCCGCATTACTATCCCATAGCCACGCCTTCGCCCGGCAAAGAGGGGCCTCCCGGACCCCCGGGACACCCAGGTCACCCGGGGCCTGAGGGACCCCCGGGGCGGGAGGGGCCTCCTGGAGCCCCCGGGGAGGATGGACAAGTCGGAGCCAGTGTAAGCCTTGACTCTCTACATCACCAACTCGTGCCTTGTGGCTCTGGTTGGCCGAATGCTGGACAGGACGAGGCTGGGTAGCGGCTACGGTGACTGGGCGGAGGGTGTGATCCCCAGAGGGGGGACCCGGGTTCGATTCCCGGGGCCGGGCCGGGCGGGGCAGGGCGGGGCCGGACCGTTGGGCAAGTTTCCTTCCCCCGCCCGCCTCTGTTTAACCCGGCAGTAAGTAGGGACTTGGTTGTTAGTCGATAGGCGGAATCGCTCTTCCGGGGACGATAATACCTTCAAAAAATAATAATAATAATAATAATAATAATAATAATAATAATTGGGTCACTCAGTCCACGACTGTGCGCAATTGGCTGCCGCGTTTCGTCCATGAAATATACAGTGTATCCCGTCAGGCGCTTTGAGACGTCTCGAAGACGTGATGAGGCGCTGTATCAAAGGCGAGGATTATTATTATTATTATTATTATTATTATTATTGTAAGCAGGTGGTGCAAGTGACTGGGCATCACCCAGCGATGTTTGGGGGCCATTTTGTTTCTCAGTTGCCGGGACGGTGTTTAATTGGGGCTTGATTTGTTGTTGTTGTTGTCGTCGTTAAATGTCGATCTTCTGGGTGGGATCAGTCAAAGAGGGGAGGGAGCATCGCCCGACAGCCAACAGCTCGGACGCGGCGGCCGTTTTCCCGCCCTCGAGTCCAATAAAAGTACAAATTGTTTCTTTCCTTTCTTTTCTCAGGGGATGCCTGGTACGCCCGGCTCTTCAGGACTTCCTGTAAGTTTCAGCAACGATCGCACAAGCTCGGAGGTTGGAAGGGGGTCGGGGCTGGGGGGGGTGGGGTGGGTGGGGAGGGTGTGGTGGGTGGGTGGGGGGGGGGTGGGGGAGTAGGGGGTCCTCTTCAGTCTTGAGAGAAATGCACTCAGAGGGGACAATAACAGTAACAAATTACATTTGCACGGCGCCTTTCGCGTCAGAAGGACGTCCCAAGGCGTTGGGCAGTCAAGGTTCAGCGCCCGAGCTGGGTGTTGGGTTCAGGAGGGGGTTGGAGGGCTGGGACAGTGGACGTAGGAGGGTGATCGAAGGCACAGTCGAAGAAGAAGGTCTTGAGACGGGTCTTGAAGGAGGCAAGGGAGGGAGCGAGGTGGAGGGGCTCGGCGATGGCGTTCCAGAGGGTGGGGGCAGAGAGGCTGAAGGACCGACTGTCAATGGTGAGGCGGAGAGGGCGGGGGGGCGTGGAGCAGGCCGGAGCCCCCCCTGAGCGGAGGGAGTGGGACGGTTAATAAGATGGTAGCAGGTCATGGACGTACGGAAGAGCGAGGCCGAGGAGGGCTTTGAACGTGAGGACGAGGATCTTAAACTCGATCCTCTGGGGGTCGGGGAGCCAGTGAAATTGGTTCCCCGTATTGTTATTTAGTGGACGTGTCTCGGTCAGGTTCGGGCTTCGCGGAGAACGCGGCGGTGGGGAGCAGAAAGGGAGTCACCGGCCAGAGTACAGAATGGAGGCACGGGGAGGAACCGGGGAGTGAAGGTCCAGTCAGAGACGAGAGTTATTGCCCGGTTAACGCGTGCGTTTCTTCCCACCCCGCAGGGCCAGAAAGGTGAGAGAGGTGACTCGGGGTTCCCGGGACAAAAAGGCATGCCGGGGCTCCCAGGATTCAACGTAAGTTCCACCCCCACCTCCTGCCCCCACCCCAACCCCAGGGCTCGGCGGTGGGGCTTTGATGCCCTCCGTCTCCTTGTCTAGACTGAGGACCCGCCTGGTCCGCCACAAAAGGGCCGGATCGATCCTGACGTTTTGTTGTCAAACGCGTCACCTTGGTACCAGTTCACCCTCGAGGAGACCCCTCTTACCTCCCACCACCCCCCCTCTCCCAACTGGGGAGGACCCCTAAAGAAGTGTAGTAACTGGATCGCGCTCTATTTATCTCCCTCCCTCTTAACCACCTGTACAGTCTGACCCTCGACGGGAGTGAAGGTCCAGCCGGATGTTACACACGTTGCGGGTCGGGGGGTGGTGGGGGTGGTGGGGGGGGGGGGGGAGTCTATAAAAGTAGGATTATAAATATGTCCGCGTCGGCTCCACGTCCGGGTTGTCAGATCGCCGCTGACATCACTTCCTGCTCCGCGCGGCGTAGGCGTCAGGTTGTAACGTCGCCCGGGGTGGATGTCGCTTGGGCCGTCTGTCTGTCTGTCTGTCTGTCTGTCTGTCTGTCTGTCTGTCTGTCTGTCTGTCTGTCTGTCTGTCTGTCTGTCTGTCTG